CATTTTGGTCAATAGTGAATGTTCTGCCAAATTCACCTGCAGAATTTGTTAAAATTAATATTTACATGTGGGTGCTTTTGACTTACACTTTGTCTCTCTTTTAGAATATGTGTTTCTGGAGATATTTTATTTCTTCAATTTATTGTATTTTATACAAATAATTAATAGTTTTCTTTCTATTGAATTCAAGATGAATAGAAAAAAAGAGCAACAAAAATACATGCATAGCTTATATAAATATGATAAAAATGGTGATAAAAAGTTTGTGTCTTGACTTTGGGATATATTGAAAATCTAGAAAATAAGCTGATACCAATTACAAGCTTTGATAAATCTTTTCAGAAAAGATTTATTACTAATATAATGGCTATCATATACAGCTCTAATAATTTGATAGTTTTAGATAAAATTTTGCAAAGACTAACATTACATCATTATAAAGTTACAGAGCCATTTTATTATTTAAACACAAAAAATTTTAATACACTATATATTTTTTTTAAATAAAGGCAAGAGAAAAGTTCTTAATTTAGTTTTCTTCCTTAAAGTAATGGCCCTTGTAAAGACATAATGCTTGTATTTGCACAATTTTATCCAAAACTATTGAACTGTTAGGGCTGTTGCATCTACTTAAAATTTGTATTAATTATTATAAAAATTATCTATCGCTATCTGCTATTTAAAAATTTTTATTAATAAATTTTATTATATGTTTATATTAATATATAGTTTTGATTTACATTGTATACCCAACCCATTAGTATTGTATGAAATTAATAAAAAAGTTGGTTGTGTGATTAGTTAAGAGTTGTTAAAGTACTATATATTCCCAAAAATAAGCTACCATTTTTGGAAGAAAAACTATACAAAAATATTAGAAGTAGCTTATTTTTGGGTAAAAAAAAGATTTTGCTCAATTGTGAAAAATTTTACTAAGCAAATTAGTATGACTTATTAAGTAAAAGTTATCTTGAAGATCAAAATATATATATTTTAAAAATTTTATGTAAATCGGATAACTTTTTATTAATTGACTTTTGATTTTTACATTCAACGAATATGAATTTTAAAGAAAATTTAAAAAATTCGTCAAATGTAACATGCAAAAGTCAATTAATAAAAAGTTATCTGATTTATATGAAATTTTAGGAAATATGTATTTCGATCTCCTGAATAACTTTCACTTAATAAGCCATGTCAATTTACTTAGTAAAATTTTGACTTTATTATAGAGTAACTACTGATGATCATATAAGTAGCTTATTTTTGGGCAATAGAAGTTTTTATATTTTCTTTCAAAAAAGGAAGGTAGCTTATTTTTGGAGTAGCTTATTTTCAGAAATATACAATTTGCTAAGTGTATTGTATTCTGTCTTAACCAAAGAAGTCAATAGATAGTACAATGTCTTGAGCTATACCCACAATACAAAAGTAGGAAGAAATAAATAAATAGTTAATTAAATAAATAATTACTTTAATATATATAATGTAATTTAAGAACTATCAAAATCATAAAGTATATCAGTTGACATCATCATTAATCAAGGAAGCTTAAGATGCGATCATTCATTAGTCAAATATAAATAGAAATAGTTTCATAATTGAACGATAAATATATTATCTCTTTGTTTTTCTTTTTTGACAGTATAATTAAAAAAAATAATGGTCAAAACTATAAAAAATAAAAAAAAATTATCAGAAGTTCATTAAATCTAATATAGGAAGCTACTAAGGGGGAAGTTAGAGAAATATTTTTCAATGAACCATTGTGCTCAGCAACTGTTTTCTTAAGTAGTGGTACTAATAATACTAAAAATTTGGGTATACCTGAAGTGGTTCTAATTTCTGAAAAAAATTATCGAAGAATAATCGCTGATCTAGCTAACATAAAAAGGAAAAACCTGAAGATGTAATTGATGTTAAATATTTATTATCACTGATTATAATGAAATTAGATTAAATTTATATTTTTTTGTTGCAAACCTATTTTAAATTATGCAATATTTCATTTTTAAACAAAACTTAGAATTTAGATAGTGATATATCATCGCAATTCAATAAGTTGATATTTGACACTTAAACAAATGAAACTGATACATCAAATTTGAAAGAAAACCAACGGACTAAAGATAGTCAAATAAATAATTATTTTAAATTTTACAAAAGAAAGATGAACAATAAAGTAAAGAATTTCAAAAGTTTTCAATTAAGAATATATCAAATAGTTTAATATTTAATTACTTTTTTTTTAAATTGATTAATAAGAATAAGGTAACAAAGATTCTCAATAATATTAAATTATAAAATTAATTAAAATTAATTAACAAATCATTGAAAAGCCTTAGCAAAATAAGAATTTCAGTAATAACTTTGAAAATAACGAGGAAATTGATAAATTATCTGCATCAATCAATGTTACTGCAAATACTTCTTCTTAAGCTAATAGCATACTTGATAATGAATGCATTAATAATAATCAGATAAGAAAGTTTCCTGTGACTAAATTAATCTGAAAATCTAATTTATAATTGACAAATCACGAATTTTAGCAAGTTGAAAATAACATCTTCAGAATTCTTGAACAAACAATCCAAGGTGGTGTTATTGGATTTATTCAAGATAATAATTATGTAAGAAATCTTCCTAACCAATTAATAAATCTCAAAAAAAAATTATTGATATAGTTTATTGTTAATAGAAAGATGACTTTAACGTAAGTGATAATGATTTACCAGGATGGTTAGAATATAAAGATTGCTATGGAAATAAAAAGGAATTATATGAATATTGTAATTGTTCTATATGCAAATGAAAAGGTGACAGAGGTCACATCCTCTTGTGTGATAGTTCTTGTAGCAAAAATTTTCATACAAGATGTCTAAACCCTTCAGTCATAAGAATACTAGCCAGAAATTGGTACTATAAAGAATGTAGAAGTTTGAATTCAAAAAAATCAAAACATAAAATGCAACTTGAATATTCAAGTTCAGACGAAATTGATAATCAAAGTACAAAAAAATAAGACACAAAAGAATACTTCAGATTCTGATGATGAAGACAAGCAAAATATAAGGAAATTTTCAAAGAAAAAGACAACAAATCATAGTAAAAAATGAGAAATTTATTTGGATTCTTTGGATATTATTATTATATCTATATGTACATTATTACCACAAATAAAAATTTTTACTTATCAAATATGTAAAAATTATAGAAAAGTCAACTCAGTATAATGATAACGCTATTAATGACTCAAATAAAATGGAGTGGAAAGTACTAATTTTCTAATTGTTGTTATAGAAAAGGATAGAGATGATATCAAAAGTTAGATTAACACTATTTGGAAAAAAATCTCAAATAACAAAATAATTATCAAATTTTAAGAGTCTTATACATCTATACTCTTTGTGAATTGATGTATATTTCTTTTAAGCTAACGAAAAGGATAAAAGAACTAAAGATTCTGATCAATTTTTTATCTCTGGATTTATCACAATGATTGATCAAGAGACTGGAGAAAAGAGACGAAAAATAAATCTAGAAGCAAATAACTAGATTCATAAATTTGCCAAAAGTAAAAGAGTCAAATGCCATGCATACAAAATATTAGTAGAATCGTCCACAATATACCATAAAGATAAACTAGCAATAATAAAAAATTTAATGATTGCAGCTAGGTGTTCATTAATAATTATTAAAAGGCTGGGTTGGCAAATAATTTATGATAGCAAAACAATTGACCCATCTAAGCTAAGAGTTATGCCAAAAAATGAATTTGCTGAGCTTATTTAAAACATTGAAGAGCAGGAACTAGCAGATAATAATAATTATTATAAGCTATCTGATGAGAACTTAAAGGAATTAGAAGAGAGCTTTTAAAATTATACAGTATAAAATTTTTATAATTAAATTTGTTTTTTATTTATGCAAATTATTCATATATGATACCATAGTCATTTTAATTAATTGTAATATATCTAAATATTGTTAATTTTGTAACTTCATAAAAAGTGTTTCTTCAAATGTAAAAAAAGGTAGTCAACTACAAGTAATATAAATTTAAGTAACATTTATTTATAGATTTAATGTATCATTATATTGATATAAATAAGTATATTAAATATAAGCAAATTTTTTTTAACTTTAATTTTTTAAAACCGTTGTCTAAAAATAATTTTTTTTTTTTTTAGAAAAAAACTAAACTATTAAAATGTATCCAAATTAGACAATTCTTAAATTAGGAAATATATAAATACGGTCAGACCCTTAACTGCATATCTGGCTAAATTTTAATATAATAGTTCTGTAGCATTGCATTAAGAGAGGTCTGACTATATTATTATATTTTTATTTTAAACTAAACAGTATATAGATTTTGATAATTGTTTGTTGAAGTTTATATAGATTTTGATAATTGTTTGATGAAGTTTAATTATCTTTCTAATGAAATTCTTTTTTTGAAATAGTTTTATTGCTTGATTTAATTTAAAATTTTATTTTCATTGGTATGTAGTAAATAATTTTATATTAATCAACTATATATTTAATGTAGAAAAAATATATTGACTAATTGTAAAACACCAGAAAAAGGTATAGATAAGGAAATATAAAAAATTAGAACTTATTTCATTTTTAAATAGTTGACTAGTATTGATCAATCATAGAATTGTAATACTGTACAACACTCATAGATCATGTAGCTAATAAGCATCCAATCAAAAGCTGAAAGACAGAATCAAAATTATTACAAATTTTACAATAGAATTAGCAAATAAAAAAAGGTATTTATATAATGGTGAGACCTAGCCTCCGGTCTTTCTTCATGTTTTATTAACTTGCATTGCTAATTTAAATATATTTATAAATAATTAAATTTATTAAATAAAGCAAAAAAAGCAATATATAAATGAATTTTAATAATGATTTAAACTACAAGAAAACTTGAGTATATGAATAATTTGTATTAATAAAAAACAAATTTAATCATAAACTGCATAATTTTAAAAGCTCTCTTCTAATTTCTTTAAGTTCTTATTAGCTAGCTTATAATAATTATTATTATCTGCTGGTTCCTGCTCTTCAATTTTTTTAATAAGCTCAGCAAATTCATTCTTTGTCATAACTCTTAGCCTAGATAGGTCAATCGTTTTGCTATCATAAATTACTTGCCAACCCAGCCTTTGAACAAGTATTAATGAACACCTAGCTGCAATCATTAAATTTTTGATTATTGCTGGTTTACTTTTATAGTAAATTGTGGATGATTCTACTAGTATTTTATTTACATAGCTTGCAATCCTTTCATCTTGGGCAAATTCACGATTCCAGTTATTTGCTTCTGTGTTTATTTCTTGTCTCTTTTTTCCAGTCTCTTAATCAGTCACAGTGATAAATCTGGAAATAAAAAATTGATCAAAATTCTTTAGTTCCTTTATTCTTTTTGTTAGCTTAAAAGAGATATGCACTAATTCACAAAGAGTATAGATATATAAGACTCTCGAAAATTGATAATTATTTTTATTATTTTTGATTTTTTCCAAATAGTATTAATCTGAATTTTGATATCATCTACATCCTCAATTTCCATAGGCACTGGTAAAGAACATAAAAATTCAATTCACTTGTCGAATATTTTTTTAAAAATTTTGTTTATTGTTTCATTTTTTGATATATTATTTTTGATAATTATTGGCATTAGATTTCCACTAATTTGGACATCAGTACGATTTTTTTATTTTATTCTGCTAGATTTTCAAATCCTATCAATATTAGATATAAGTTAAGTTAACATATTTATATTATAAATTCTTACCTGATCAAGCTTTAAATAAATAAATAAATAAATAAATATATTTTAAATAATGACCATCTTTATGTTTTGTATTATCGTATTATATAATTATAATAAAAATATACTAATATATATTTAGTTTTAGAATGTAGTATTATACTAATATAAAAGTATAAGACTTACATGTCTAAACTAAGCTATATTAGTATACTATTTATTATAAGCAGATATAATATATAATAAATTAAACAGATCTCTTATTAAAATTTGTCATACTTGTAAAGATTGACTATTTTTATCTGAAGAATTATTTTTATTAATTTCATCATTTAAACTTTCAACTTGATTTACTAAGTGGAGAGAGGTTGATCTTTGAGAAATTGAACTTCAAGAACTATCAAGATGTGTGAATGATTCCTTTGAATTTGATAAATTTAGTTATAACTTTAAAATTTATTTTTAAATCTGTCAAAATTAATTATGATTAATTATTTGATTATTCATATCCGATTGGGTTACTGGCATATTCTTTGTTTCATCTATCTGCTTTTAAAAAATAACATAATAAATAATATTGACTAGTAAAATTTTGTCATCATAGTAGAGTTTACCTGTCTACTAAAGCGTTAATCCTCGTCTATAACAACAACAGGAAAATTGGTGCTTTCTACTCTATTTCCAATGGGTTCCAATCTTTTGCCCGACACTCATTTGCCCGACAATAACTTTCCTGACAACCATTTTCACAACAATCATCTGCCCGACACTTTCGTCTGCCCAACACTTTATTTGCCTGACACTTTCATCTGCCCACAAATTTATCTTCCCGACAATAACCTTCCTGACAATCATCTACCTGACACTTTTATTTGCCCGACACTTTTGTTTGCCCTACACTTTCATCTGCCCGACAAATTTATCTTCCCGACACTTTCATTTGCCTGACACTTTCATTTGCCCGACACTTTTGTTTGCCCGACACTTTGCCCAATACTTTCATTTGCCCGACAAATTTATCTTCCCGACACTTTCATTTGCCCGACACTTTTGTTTGCCTGATACTTTCATTTGCCCGTCAAATTTATCTTCCCAACACTTTCATTTGCCCGACACTTTTGATTGCCCTACACTTTCATTTGCCCAACAAATTTATCTTCCCGACACTTTCATTTGCCCGACACTTTTATTTGCCCGACACTTTCGTTTGCCTGACAATTTCATCTGCTTGACAAATTTATTTGCCCAACACTTTCGTTTGCCCAACACTTACGCTTGCCCGACACTTTCGCTTGCCCGACACTTTCGCTTGCCCGACACTTTCGCTTGCCCGAAACTTTCGCTTGCCCGACACTTTCGCTTGCCTGACACTTTTGCTTGCCTGACACTTTCACTTGCCCGACACTTTCGCTTACTGACACTTTCACTTGCCCAACACTTTCGCTTGCCCGACACTTTCGCTTGCCCGACACTTTCACTTGCCCGACACTTTTGTCTGCCTGATATTTTCATTTGCCCAACATTTTATCTTCTTGATGCTTTTATCTGAATAAAATAAAACTAATTAGTAAATATTCATGATTATTTTAATTATTAGATTAATTAATTA